CTGTAAACACTGACCAGTGTCCCTAACACTGAACAATGTCCCTCTGCAGTGTCTATAACACTGACAAAGCAGTGTCCCTAATGAGTATTAATGATCAGTGTCCTTAATGAGTGTCTATAACAATGATCAGTATCTCTAGGGAGTGTCTGTTACACCCTCACACTATAAAACTAACCAGTGTCCATAAAGATTTTATATAACACTTACTGGTGTCCCTAACTAGTATCTGTGACACTAACTTGAGTGTCCTTAGGTAGTGTCTGTAACACTGATTAGCATCTGTTAGGAGTGCCTGTAAAACTGACCAGTTTCTATAGGGATCTGGTCCCTTGGAAGTGTCTATAACACTGATTAGCATCTGTTTGGAGTGCCTGTAAAACTGACCAGTTTCTCTGGGGAGCTGGTCTTTAGGAAGTGTCTATAACACTGATGAGAGTCTGTAAGGAGTGACTGCAAAACTGACCAGTTTCTCTGGGGAGCTGGTCCTTAGGAAGTATCTATAACACTGATTTGTGTCTGTAAGGAGTGCCTGTAAAACAGACCAGTTTCTCTAGGGACCTGGTCCATAGGAAGTGTCTGTAACACTGATTAGTGTCTGCAAGGAGTGACAGTAAAACTGACCAGTTTCTCTAGGGAGCTGGTCCCTAGGTAGTGTCTGTAACACTGATAAGTGTCTGTAAGGAGTGACAGTAAAACTGACCAGTTTCTCTGGGGAGCTGGTCACTAGGAAGTCCCTATAACACTGATCAGTGTCGGTAGGGAGTGTATGTAACATTGACCAAGATCTCTAGGGAACTGGTCCCTAGTTGGGAATGTCTGTGAGCTGACCAGTGTCCCTAACACTGACCAGCACACTGACCAGCATCTGTAGAGTGTATGAAAAACTGACCAAAATCTATAGGGAGCTGGTCCCTATTTGGGAAAGTCTGTGAGCTGACCAGTGTCCCTAACACTGACCAGCATCTGTAGAGTGTATGAAAAACTGACCAAGATCTCTAGGGAGCTGGTCCCTAGTTGGGAATGTCTGTGAGCTGACCAGTGTCCCTAACACTGACCAGCATCTGTAGGGAGTGTATGAAACACTGACCAAGATCTCTAGGGAGCTGGTCCCTAGTTGGGAATATCTGTGAGCTGACCAGTGTCCCTAACACTGACCAGCATCTGTAGGGAGTGTATGTAACACTGACCAAGATCTCTAGGGAACTGGTCCCTAGTTGGGAATGTCTGTGAGCTGACCAGTGTCCCTAACACTGACCAGCACACTGACCAGCATCTGTAGAGTGTATGAAAAACTGACCAAAATCTCTAGGGAGCTGGTCCCTAGTTGGGAAAGTCTGTGAGCTGACCAGTGTCCCTAACACTGACCAGCATCTGTAGGGAGTGTATGAAACACTGACCACGATCTCCAGGGAGCTGGTCCCTAGTTGGGAATATCTGTGAGCTGACCATTGTCCCTAACACTGACCAGCATCTGTAGGGAGTGTATGAAACACTGACCACAATCTCTAGGGAGCTGGTCCCTAGTTGGGAATGTCTGTGAGCTGACCAGTGTCCCTAACACTGACCAGCATCTGTAGGGAGTGTATGAAACACTGACCACGATCTCTAGGGAGCTGGTCCCTAGTTGGGAATATCTGTGAGCTGACCATTGTCCCTAACACTGACCAGCATCTGTAGGGAGTGTATGAAACACTGACCAAGATCTCTAGGGAGCTGGTCCCTAGTTGGGAATGTCTGTGAGCTGACCAGTGTCCCTAACACTGACCAGCATCTGTAGAGTGTATGAAAAACTGACCAAAATCTCTAGGGAGCTGGTCCCTAGTTGGGAAAGTCTGTGAGCTGACCAGTGTCCCTAACACTGACCAGCATCTGTAGAGTGTATGAAAAACTGACCAAGATCTCTAGGGAGCTGGTCCCTAGTTGGGAATGTCTGTGAGCTGACCAGTGTCCCTAACACTGACCAGCATCTGTAGGGAGTGTATGAAACACTGACCAAGATCTCTAGGGAGCTGGTCCCTAGTTGGGAATGTCTGTGAGCTGACCAGTGTCCCTAACACTGACCAGCACACTGACCAGCATCTGTAGAGTGTATGAAAAACTGACCAAAATCTCTAGGGAGCTGGTCCCTAGTTGGGAAAGTCTGTGAGCTGACCAGTGTCCCTAACACTGACCAGCATCTGTAGGGAGTGTATGTAACACTGACCAAGATCTCTAGGGAGCTGGTCCCTAGTTGGGAATGTCTGTGAGCTGACCAGTGTCCCTAACATTAACCAGCATCTGTAGGGAGTGTATGAAAAACTGACCAAGATCTCTAGGGAGCTGGTCCCTAGTTGGGAATGTCTGTGAGCTGACCAGTGTCCCTAACACTGACCAGCATCTGTAGGGAGTGTATGAAACACTGACCAAGGTCTCTAGGGAGCTGGTCCCTAGTTGGGAATGTCTGTGAGCTGACCAGTGTCCCTAACATTGACCAGCATCTGTAGGGAGTGTATGTAACACTGACCAAGATATCTAGGGAGCTGGTCCCTAGTTGGGAATGTCTGCGAGCTGACCAGCATCCCTAACACTGACCAGCATCTGAAGGGAGTGTATGAAACACTGACCAAGGTCTCTAGGGAGCTGGTCCCTAATTGGGAATGTCTGTGAGCTGACCAGTGTCCCTAACACTGACAATAGTTCCCACATACCAGGTCTCTTGGGAGTGTCTATAACACAGACCATTGTCTCTAGGTAGACTTCATTACTTTTGCATTAATTGTGCTGTTTCACAAGCTATTCAAGTATGAAGTTCTTAATTAAACAATAAACAAACTAAAGGTTCAAATACACAATCTTAACTTTAGGATCATGTACACAATCCTACTGACACAAACACACAGAATGATAAACATCATCTTTAGGATCAACCACTATCCTAATTAGAGGGTCACACACACTATCCTATTCTAAGGACACACACACAATCCTAATTAGATGGTCACACACACTATCCTATTCTATGGACACACACACAATCCTAATTAGAGGGTCACATACACAATCCTCTTCTAAGGACACACACATCATCCTAATTAGAGGGTCACACACACTATCCTATTCTAGGGACACACATACATCATCCTAATTAGAGGGTCACATACACAATCCTATTCTAAGGACACACACACAATCCTAATTAGAGGGTCACACACACAATCCTCTTCTAAGGACACACACATCATCCTAATTAGAGGGTCACACACACTTTCCTATTCTAAGGACACACACACAATCCTAATTAGAGGGTCACACACACTATCCTATTCTAAGGACACACACAATCCTAATTAGAGGGTCACACACACAATCCTATTCTAGGGACAAACATCATCCTAATTAGAGGGTCACACACACTATCCTATTCTAAGGACACACACATCATCCTAATCAGAGGGTCACACACACTATCCTATTCTAAGGACACACACACAATCCTAATTAGAGGGTCACATACACAATCCTATTCTAAGGACACACACACATCATCCTAATTAGATTATCACACACACTATCCTATTCTAAGGACACAAACACAATCCTAATTAGAGGGTCACACACACTTTCCTATTCTAAGGACACACACACAATCCTAATTAGAGGGTCACATACACAATCCTATTCTAAGGACACACACATCATCCTAATTAGAGGGTCACACACACTATCCTATTCTAAGGACACACACATCATTCTAATTAGATGGTCACACACACTATCTTATTCTAGGGACACACATCATCCTAATTAGAGGATCACACACACTATTCTATTCTAGGGGCACACACATCATCCAAATTAGATTATCACACACACTATCCTATTCTAAGGACACACACACAATCCTAATTAGAGGGTCACACACACTTTCCTATTCTAAGGACACACACACAATCCTAATTAGAGGGTCACATACACAATCCTATTCTAAGGACACACACACATCATCCTAATTAGAGGGTCACACACACTATCTTATTCTAGGGACACACATCATCCTAATTTGATTATCACACACACTATCCTATTCTAGGGACACACACATCATCCTAATTAGAGGGTCACACACACTCTCCTATTCTAAGGACACACACATCATCCTAATTAGATTATCACACACACTTTCCTATTCTAGGGACACACACACTAACCTAATTAGAGGGTCACACACACTATCCTATTCTAGGGACACACATACATCATCCTAATTAGATTATCACACACACTATCCTATTCTAAGGACACACACATCATCCTAATTAGATTATCACACACACTATCCTATTCTAAGGACACACACATCATCCTAATTAGAGGGTCACACATCCCCATTCTAAAGTCACACACCATCAGTATTCTAAGCTCACCTTCACACTATGTATGTTTTATCCAAATCATAAAATACAAAAACATTTCCTTTATCTATGAGAATCATTTCAATGTCACCACATTAGGAACACAACCAGTGACAAATGCACTCTATTCCTTTTTTCCTAAAAAATATATAACTTGATTCCCTGCGTTTGGGTACTGAGTGCAGGTAACACGCTATTTCATAGGAACCCAAAGAAACATTTGGGATTGGATTCTGGGAAGGGTTACATATAATGGACCTTTTCTTCAAGCTTTCTGCTTTAATTACCTAACCAATCAATCGTGCGGTCTCACAAGAAGAAACAGTTAAGTGTGAAGTTCTTAATTAAACTATGTCATGAACATTTTTTCATTGATTTTAAAAGCAAGTTAAATATTTTACGCTAAACTCTTACTTTCAATGACAATTTCTCGCTGATACCGATATACAGTCAATGATTCTGCTAGTCACAGTTACATTAATTTCCGTCTTTGTGTGAGAGAGGAACCCGCACACAACCGAGCGCATGCTTTGAACGTGTGCTGCAGTAGAAAATATCGATAATACATAACTTTTGCACGAGAAATATTTAAAATTAAAGTTAACTCACCAGTAGATGGTAACACCGCTATGAAAAGACGCAAAAAGCAGAAATCCTCGCTGCGAGCTTTCTTCAACGACTTTTCTGCAAAATCCTTAGCGGAGAAAATAAAAGTTGTAGACACTGAACACGGAATACGTAGTCGATTACAACCCGTACTCGGCTATCGACAGCGTTCACTCTGTGACACACATCGGCAGGTCACGTGGTCGGTCTCGTCTGCTCGGCTTTTAAGCTGGTTTTCACCAGTGTAAAATGTCTCGAATTTCTACTATTTGATATCAATATCGTGCCGAATAGCATTACGCGCATAGCTCATCCATCCCAATAAACCAAGTGCTTTGTGGGTACAGGTTATAAATGTCGGATTGAGCCAGATTAGTTCAAGGGGATGGCGGTAGATTGCTTCAAACTAAAATTCCACCCAAAAAGAAGAGAATAATAATTTAGAAATACGTATAAATACTGCTTCATCATCAGAATTTCTTTTTGAAATCGAGTCATAGACAGTGCGTCTGGTGTATGCCAGAATTAATATCCACACTGCCATCGACTGAGATCGGTAGTTTTACACGTTTAGAGCAATGCTCAAACCTTGTACTGGTAACGACATGAAATAATTTTCATAAAGTTGGCGGCACACATATTACAGTATTCTTTCTCCATTATCTTACAGCCGTTAATGAACTTACCGGAATGGAGGAAAACTGAAATGTAACATTCACTTACGTCCAATCACGACAAATTGCAAAGATATCGTTAGAAACAAGATGTTAACGTGAAGAATTGGCGATATCACTGTATCATATGTTTTCTACTGATAACACCGTTTATGTGTAACGTGTGTTACGTCTGAAATTTACACAAGCTGATATCAGCCCGAGTGATATCACAGCCCTTGAAGTGATATCGCATCCCCTTGAAAGTGATATCACATCCCCTTGAAAGTGATATCACACCCCCTTGAAAGTGATATCACGCCCCCTCTCATATTTTTATATTTTGCGGCTTCCGCATATCGCTGTCTGATTTTAACATGAATATTGTTGGCATAGAAGAAAAACGTTTTCTTTCGGAAAGTAATTTAGAATCCCACTCAAATGTCCGGCCGTTTACGGATTGGTTATTAGTGATGCACCAACAGCTAAAAATGGCTATCTATGAATATCAGTAAATAGTGAGTCATTGTTGTTATAGTAATGATTTAATGATTTACTCGAAAGATGGAGTTAAATCAAACAAGGACTACATGAAGTAGTAAAAAGGTACAATTTTGGGAATTTCTGGAAGGAAATTATGTCTGTTTGGGGAAATCTTTAAGAAGCCACAGAACACTTCCTCTCTCAGCCTCTGTGGTTTAATACAGAAATTAAAATTATTAGACAAACTATCTCCTTCCAAAATCTATGTATTGAAGGAGTCTTCTATGTGAAAGACATAGTAAACGAGCATAGAAATATTACGTCTTTGAATTGTTTTATTCAGAAATTCCGAATAAATATTGATTTCGTGAACTTTGAGAGTATCATTAGTGCAATATCGAGAGATTGGGAGAGAATGATAACTAATTATGGAAGAAATATTGAACATGTTTTTGCGTAATAATTTGAGGCACCTGAAGAAACCTTGAAAACCCGTCTAAACATTTCTATCACAAACCATTATCACTGTATTGACATATCCTCTACATTCTCGTGAAAGGTGACACACTGTTTTGGATATTTTTATAAGCCATGGCGATTGGAAAGACATTCATACTCTTCCATTTCGTGAGACAAATGACTCAAAACCACCAAGTTTACAATACAGAATTACTCACTGAATATTTTTGACCAATTTACTGTAATATAAACGAAATTTTTTAGAACATCAGGAATGTAGATTTCGCAGTGGGTCAGCTGAAACATTATATCACATTTTTGGGATTGTCGCAGAATGTATCACTTTGGTCTTGCTTTATAACTTCAGTCTTTCTCAATTATAATGTTGATTTGGAATAAATCCTGCCACTTTCCTATTTGGCATGGTAGAAAACGTTCAAGTGATATGCTTAGACATATGAATATTGCTTGTTAAGAAATACATCTCGCTGATGCGACAAAGCAATAAAATTCCAAATTGGGAAACATGCAACATATTTATTTGAAGTTACAGAAACGTTTGATCTATATTCAAGATATATGTTGACAAACATTGTGACTGTATGTGTTGTTGTACAATGATATATTGTTGACTAATGTGTTGTTCTAACATTTGTGACTGTATGTGTTGTTGTACAATGTGACTAATGTTGTTGTACATTGTGACTAATGTGTTGTTGTACAATGTGACTGTAAGTGTTGTTGTACAATGTGACTAATGTGTTGTTCTACAATGTGACTAATGTTGTTGTACATTGTGACTAATGTGTTGTTGTACAATGTGACTGTAAGTGTTGTTGTACAATGTGACTAATGTGTTGTTGTACATTGTGACTGTGTGTGTTGTTGTACAATGTGACTAATGTTGTTGTACATTGTGACTAATGTGTTGTTGTACAATGTGACTGTAAGTGTTGTACATTGTGACTGTGTTGTTGTAATTGTGTGTGTGTTGTACAATGTGACTAATGTGTTGTTGTACAATGTGACTGTAAGTGCTGTTGTACAATGTGACTAATGTGTTGTTGTACAATGTGACTGTAAGTGCTGTTGTACATTGTGACTTAAGGTGTTGTACATTGTGACTGTAAGTGTTGTTGTACATTGTGACTAATGTTGTTGTTGTTGTGCAATGTGACTAATGTTGCTGTACATTGTGACTGTAAGTGTTGTGTTACATTGTGACTGTAAATGTTGCTTTACATTGTGACTGTAAGTGTTGTTGTACAATGTGACTAATGTTGTTGTACATTGTGACTAATGTGTTGTTGTACAATGTGACTGTAAGTGTTGTTGTACATTGTGACATTAGGTGTTGTTGTACATTGTGACTGTAAGTGTTGTTGCACAATGTGACTAATGTTGTTGTACATTGTGACTAATGTGTTGTTGTACAATGTAACTGTAAGTGCTGTTGTACATTGTGACTTAAGGTGTTGTACATTGTGACTGTAAGTGTTGTTGTACATTGTGACTAATGTTGTTGTTGTGCAATGTGACTAATGTTGCTGTACATTGTGACTGTAAGTGTTGTGTTACATTGTGACTGTAAGTGTTGCTGTACATTGTGACTGTAAGTGTTGTGTTACATTGTGACTATAAGTGTTGCTGTACATTGTGACTATAAGTGTTGCATTACATTGTGACTATAAGTGTTGTGTTACATTGTGACTATAAGTGTTGCTGTACATTGTGACTATAAGTGTTGTGTTACATTGTGACTATAAGTGTTGTTGTTCATGGTGACTGATGGTGTTGCACATTTTGATTATTGTGGTTTCTGATCTGTATATTATTACTGATGATTGACGGTGTGATTGACAATGTTTCGCTTCTTTTTGACTGATGCTATTTTTATATATTGACTGATGATGTTGCTGTGTATTGTGACTGATGGTGTTGCTGTATGTGACTGATGGCTTTGCTGTATATTGTGACTGATGGTGTTGCTGTATATTGTGACTGATGGTGTTGCTGTATATTGTGACTGATGGTGTTGCTGTATAATGTGACTGATGGTGTTGCTGTATATTGTGACTGATGATCTTACGGTATAGTGTGACTGATGGTGTTGCTGTATATTGTGACTGAAGGTGTTGTACAGTGTGACTGATGGTGTTGCTGTATATTGTGACTGATGGTGTTACAGTATATTGTGACTGATGGTGTTGCTGTATATTGTGACTGAAGGTGTTGTACAGTGTGACTGATGGTGTTACTGTATATTGTGACTGAAGGTGTTGTACAGTGTGACTGATGGTGTTGCTGTGTATTGTAACCAGTGGTAGATTGTGTTTGGACTGGTAGTTCTGCTATAATTGAGACAAGATAAGTTGCTCTGTGGCGGAGAGTTTGATTTGTCGCTAACTAAAGGAGGTTAAGTAGGGTCCAGGTTTTGTAACTAGACGATATACTAAGTTATTGTTTAATCACGTGATGAATGATTCGTTCTTTGATATCAGGATTTTAATGCCAACGGGGAACACGCTGGTGAATGAATGTTGATCATCATCAGTATTCCACGTTCGATAGCACTCCCGCAATCACAAAAATCGTATTTCAACTAAAGAAATGGCATTTCTTAGAAAGGCAGACGTGCTACCACATGATACACCTGACCGAAAGTGACCGATATATCTACGTTACCTCACCTCGTGCTTTCTGGCAGTTCGGCGAGCTTTGGCCCTTGGTCCATTTTTAATTGTGACATGTTTGTCATTATATTTCTCCTATTCGACATTTTACATCTGTTTGCTTGGGACCAGCACATTAATATGTCCACATGAATTTATCACAAGTAGAACGACCTAAATATCCAAATAAATGATATCTAGATATGACATTTTGATGGGTAGTCATGGCAATGAATGACGCCTCCACAGGTGGGAATGAGAAATATATTACTACGGGGCGTTAATGTTTACAGTTTGAAACACTGGGCATGTTTACATTGTTGTGACGGCTTCCTGTGCGATTTGTTGTTGTAGTTCACTCTGATACCCCAAAACAGGAGTCGGTTTTCAACAGCCACTGGAAGGATGAGTTGGGGATGGGTGGGGTGGTGAGAGACAGACGAGTAAAACACTAGAACCGTGTCCCGAGGCCGTGCTTTGTTTCCTTCTTATGTTTGACGCAACCTTTCGACAGTACGAGGTGCCACGGCCTGGATGCGTGTTATGTATACCGCATTAATAGTAAAATGCAGATGCGTTCTGAAATGTGCACGGCCCGCGTATGCAATTGTCGCTGGCATCAGGAAAAAAGACAATCTGATTATTAACCAAAATAGAGTAGCATAGTTAAGATATTTCCCGTGACGCCCCGTAACTTCGTATGCACTGTAAAATCAGCGAGTTCTTTTCTCGGTCACGTTTCTGGGAGTTATCGTTTCCTCTGTAAAATAAAAAGTTCGCCCTATAATTTTACGGACTTAATGCTTCGAGGAACACAGAAAAAAACCCCAAA